CCATAAGGAAAATACTAATTTTCCCAATAAAATCCGAAATTAACTCAAAAATCGCCCGTAGGGCCCACATTTCGGAACCCGATAAAAGTTACAGAATATGAACGCCCATCCAACCATGAGTCCAATCATATAAATTTTACCAAAATCCGACATCAACTCGACCCTCAAATCTTCAATTAAAGTTTATGAAGATTTCTACCATTTTCAACCAAATCCTTACCCATTTGAACTTAATAATCCTTCCACAACCTTATTGGTATGTATACATAATACTCTTACACCCAAGAATTATACTATAAATCACCCATTTTTATTCCAAACCCGAAATTGAAGGATTGAGGAAAGAAATTCTTACCTCTTTGAAGCCCTAGCAAGATCCTTGTGAAATCTTCAAATCTTGAACAAGAATTGATGGATAAATGATCAAGTCTTCACTTTCTCTCTCTAAAATGCTCTCACCTCTCTCTAAAATATCAGATTTTGGCTAAAAAATGAGCTTCAAGGGCTATAAATCGAAGTTGGGTCGGGTCAAAAATTAGAAAGAATGGAAGCTCCGACGCAGTTATGCGATCGCATATGCGATCGCATAACAGGTATGCGGTCCGCATACCGGCCGTATAATTTGGCCTCCAAAGCTGGGCATTACTGACCCGGTCTGCATTCATTATCGCATATTGTACCGCAGATTTTCCTCAAATCTTGCCCCTATCCTGAACCACTTTACGATCATTATGCGGTCCGCCAGAAATGATCATTTTTCGACAAAATTTTCCTTTACACTTCGGTGCATTGTTCAACCCAAAAAGTCCGAGCCGCGGCGAAGCTCGCCGCAAGAAATTTCTATAATCTTTGTACTAATTGATCTACCTCGGCACCACCAAAACTTAATTTTCTTAGCAAAATTTCTCCGAGGTCGTTACACATAAGTTAGCATCAGGTCAATCTTTTCAACTTAAATTCTAAACCTTGTAACTAAGCGCTCTAAATCATTTTAAAGCCTCACCGAACCCAAATCAATTACCCCGGCAAGCCAAATAATAACTGTAATTCACAATTTGAGCAGTAAATGAGGGGACGAGATTACAATAGTCAAAACGATCGGTCGGGTCGTTACAACTTAAGAGAAGCAGACAGAGCAATCTGAAGAGAGGTTAGAGAGAGAGACTTCGATATAAACTAAGAAAAGAATAGTCTAAAGAGAGACAGATGAAATGAGAAGACTTAACCCTAAAATGTAAGTCTAATATTTATACATGTCCATATGATTCGAATTTCGGGTAAGATTGAATTAAAATTATTCCAATCCGTATTCGATCCGAATATCCGAACTTTTAAAAAACTCAATCCATATTCGATCCGAAATCCAAAAATTCGAATAAAATGGATCAACTCGAATTCTCGGATATTCGATCCAAGTACACAGCCCTACTCTATTGTCACCTTAGAACCAAGGATAACCGATTAATCTTGACTAACTTAAATTAAAGGAAAACAAATACATGACAAAACATCACTTTTATAAAGCAATAAGAGACTTCCCAAATGGGAGGTTTAGCATACGAAATTCACTTGCATACTTTTTCGGTCGAGTCCGTCGCACGGGACTTGCTTAATGTAGTTTATCTTCCTGTGTAGTACTTTATGGGTTATTACATAGGAACGTAGTTTATCGTGCACACATCCAAATGGCAGTGACTACGAATTTTCTTGTTAATTTTTTTTAGTTTAAAAAATAATTTATCTATTAAATTGAATAAGAAATACAAACGACTACAATAACAAGTAAATCTAAAGTACAACCAAGTTTGAAAGTCATCTACATGAGTCTTTACTATTCATTTTTCTTCATTGATGCTCTTCTAAAACTAATATATTAAAAGGTTAGTTTCAATAAGCTAAAGATTAGTTTTAGTAAGCACTAGAAGTTTTCTATATTTTTTACGGATATACGATGAATAATAAATACATATATACTTGTGTATATTTTCAGCATTTATTGTTTTAGATCAATCTTATGGAAAGTCATTTTTATTCCATTCTCTTTCCAAAAAGGACGACAAAGATTTTACTTGGGAAACATAATAAATTGGGTGGATAGAAGATGGGAAAGATTTTTTTTTATTATTTTTTTTTTCAAGTGCATTCTAAAGAAGTCGGTGGCTTAGATTTCAAAAAGGTTGTCCAAAAACATCCGATTCTTTGCCTTTTGATATGAATTTAATTGTATACATACCAATAAATTTTTAATTGTTTACTTACCAATTATATATGATTAATTAAAGGTTGCTCATCTTTGACGAAAAGGGTTCATTCATTTAATCTGATAATAAATAAATATCTTATTCAAGAATGTTCCCTTCAAATTAATATGTATCTTAGTTGGGTATTAATATGCCCTTTTTGCTTGCTTATATTTGTCTCGAAAAGAAAATGACAAAAATGATTAGTTCACTGTGCAACCTTATATCGTATATCTTGTCTGATATTAACAAGATTATTTTCATTTGGTCTCCAGTTGACGTGTTTGAGAGGCAAAAATGAGAACAAATTAAAGTAGAATAAAAGTTAATTACTTTAATTAGAAGTTCGAAATATGAGACTCAAAATATTTATTTTTTAATGTGCATTTTGACATAAATACTTTAATTTTTAAAATTAAATTTATATATTTGTTAACTATCCAAAAGTACTACTTATAAGTCAAGATAATTAATAATTTAAAATAGCTTCACTTAGAATGGAACAAAAGGAGTAAAGAAGAATACAAGTGCATTTTTTAAATATTATTTTCCTTGCCTCATGGCTGCAGTTTCCATATTATTTCTCTGCCAACCAACCTCTCAGTTGTTATTTGTTTATTTTTAGCTCTCTGTCTCTGGTAAGAATATTGAGCCGACCTAACGTTATTTTCACATTCACAAAATTAAAGGACTTAAATTTTTTACTACAAAAATCATAACCTAACAATTAACGAGCAGAAATAATTTTGGTGTGGTTCATAATTTCATATGCTGCAGTCTCGAGGGTCTGTACCTCATTTTGAAATAACAAGCAAAAATAATAAACGAGTTTTACCATGCATAGAATCTATATGTCATTTTCGAAGACAATATTTAGAAAATCTTTATACATAATTATGAGCTCCAAAAAGGGAAAGAAGCCAAAGATCATTTTCTCTCCTGACTTCTCATAATTATAGCTTTCTTCATGTCAACAATGATCGTGTCATTTTCCTTAATCTCATTCTTTCTTTGAAGAAAAAATAGTTGACTATTAAATTATTTACACTCTTTTTCTGTTTGCATTTTGCACTTGCTATATATATATTACTCCCAGAGTCCAATCATTTTACAAAAATGCAATGTTCTATTTGTTATTCACCATTTTCTTTCTGTATATAATAAATAAGTTCATAACCATTTTCTTTCTGTATATAATAAATACAACATTACATAACCTACTTTTTCTATTTCTGTCCAATTTCATTATATTGAAGTAATAATATCTTAAGGGGATTCTGAGATTTTCTGGTATCTCTATTGAATGCCAAAGGGACACCAGTGCAAACTCAAACAGTGACAACACACCTGGAAAAGGCTTGCTAAAACAAACCGACCTCGTGGGGGCCTCTTCTGTTTAAGAGGGAAGGTTCAAAATCGAACCGAACCGAAGACATATTGGCTTATTGATATCGAATTATCGGGATAATGAATAGTAAATGAATTGAGATTTTATAATTAACGGCTTAACAGTTTGGAGACTGATTACTTAATTTTCTTATCGGGTAAACCGTTAACCCGTTAAATTTTTTTATATTTATACTTTTTCCCCCAAATATATAAACTTGTTAGTTGTTACTACATTACTGCATAAGTAATTGTACATAGAATGATAGAACTGTCTATAGCTAATAGAAGTCGTCTTTGGCTTCTCATGAATTATGAGTAGACATGAATTGAATTACTCTTTAGGTCATTTTACTTAAGTGGGGTTTGTTTCATTACTTCACTTACAATAATCGTTAATTCGATACCAGTCCGCTCGTTGTCTTATTGGATGGCTAGAGGATTACTACATTTATAATCCGAAAATGATAAGTCGAACCGTTAAGCGTAATTATCCGTCCGATAAGCACCCTAATTTCAAGGCTAGACTCGGCCCCCTCCATTATTCTGTAATTAAATGACAAAAAAGGCCCCTTAATGTTTGGGATGGATTTAACATATAGTCTCTTAAAAACATTTATGGATAGTTTTGGTCCTTTGATTTTATAGTTTTGGTCCTTTGATTTTACCAAAAGTAAGTACTTTTGGTCTTCGTCAAATACTTAACGAACTCTACCGGTTAGAGTTAGCAATAAAAAATAAAATAAAACCAAAACATCAGAAAAGTCTTGTTAGATCTCAAAAAATTGGAATACAAAAATTTACAGCAGCCACAAAAAATAACAGAAATTATACCGTAGAAAACTGCACCAAAAATCATTAATAGACCAAAAAAAAAAAACAGTTAGATGTTTAAAATATATTAACTATTGACGAAAATTAAAGGTATTCATTTTGGATAAATTTAAAGAATTAAAATTGCTCAAAAATATATTTAAGAGGACTATTTTGCACCTTACGGGGAGCTTTGGAGCAACTATAAAATTGTCTTAATGCGACTTATAGGTAATAAGTTTCGAACCGTAGAATTAACGGTCGTCTACATTACACCCTTTTGGGATGCAGCTTTTTCCGAATGCGCGAATATACAATACTTCATGCACCGAATTATTTTTTTAATTCACTATTTTGCACCTACCCGAACATGATGATCAATTTTTGTCATTTTCTTGAAATAATTTTCTGCTTACATTATGACCGTTTGGTTGGATTGGAACCATAGAGTTAATTTATGACCGTTTGAGAAACAATTCCACTGACATATACATAGTACAGAGTACAGTCAAATACTTATTTGACACAAAAAAGCTTTGGAGCTCAGTTTCCTAAAACACAGCCCCCTATTATTTTAACACCCATATAGTAATTTGTGTGGTAATACATAAGATTAGACATATAAAAAGGGCCACCCAAAATAGACATTGAGCTCCATCTTCCACCGTCTACTTACCATTTTTCTTGTCTCGAGAACTCCATTTCCCCATAACACCCCTTTTGGAGCTTCTTTGTTCCTCTTAAAAATCTCTCACTAGCTCTATTAATATTCTTGAAAAGACGGGAACAAGAATTTCTTCATAACTAGTTCAAAGATCTTGGCACAAAACAATCATGGCTACTGCTTTTGTACTGTGTTTAATAGTTTTCTTGGCTTTCACTGGTTACTCAAGTAAGCAGCTTGTTGCTACTTTCACTTCAAATTTCTTTATTTTCTGCCTTTTTCATGTGTTCTTTATAAGGGGTTTTCACCAGATTTTGCTCTTAGTTTGTGTATCCAACAATATTTTCTTCAAAGATTGAATTTTTAGCTCTCTCACTTCAAGATTCTCTGTTCTTGCATTTTCCATCTGTTTCTTGATAAAGGGTTTCACCAGATTTTACTCTTAGTAGTGTATACAAGAATTTCTTATACAAAGATTGAGTCTTTTTTTCTCTGACAAAATTTCAATAATTTCTGTTTCTTGAGCTGATTTCTTATTTATGGTGGTTTTTTTTTTTGTTTTTTTCTAGGTGGTGCTAATTACTGTTTATGCAAAGATGGGGTAGGAGACAGCCTTATGCAGAAGAGTATAGATTATGCTTGTGGAAATGGAGCTGACTGTACTGGTATCCTTCAAAATGGACCTTGTTACAACCCTAACACTATCAAAGATCACTGTAGCTATGCTGTAAATAGCTATTATCAGAGGAAAGCTGCAACTGGTGCAACCTGTGACTTTTCTGGAACTGCAACTCTAAGTTCAAATCCACCATCTTGTAAGTTCCTAAATGATCTTGTTTTTCTTCTTTTTTATTTCCTTTGTTTTGAAACACTTATTCCTCTATAAGTCACTGATATTGTTCTTTTATTATTATTTTTAATTAACAGCATCTACTTCTGGATGTTATCAGACAACTCCTGGGTATGTTTCTTAAGATTTTGTTGTTTTTGATGCTAGATCTTGTATTTATCTTGTCAATATTGAATGAAGCATCTCCTTAAACTTGCATCTAATTCTCATTTCAAAATCTTTTTGTATTTTCTCAACAAAAAAAGGAAGAGTTTCTCTCCCTTTAGATTGCAGTGAATGCCATTCTTTTCCTAGGGCAAAAATGGTGATAATTCCCCTCGTTTAATTAAAAAATAGAAGGTTCTTTTGGTCCCTTTTTGTCTGGATGATGCTTGCTTCACCTTGTAGCACATTCTCAGGGGAAAAATCTTGGAAAAATATTTTTTTTTCATGATTTCAGTATAAATATTCACCTACCAAGTAGGGGTGGTGATATATAGAAGTTAAAACTCTGTTCTCAGGGTAGGAAAGGACCTATTACAAGATAAAAGGTGCAATTATAAATGCCAAGATATGAACTTTGATGTATGAGTGAATGGTTGGAAGCTTTTCCTAATATAGTGACCTTTTTTTCTGAGGATATAATTAAAGATTGTTGTTGGTGCTGTCACTTGTCTTCTTTTACCTAAAATAAAATCTCTCAATAGTCATTCTTAGTGTCCCAACTGTGCCGATAACTTTCAAACATAAGATGAGTTAGATTCATCATTATGTATGCCCATGTGACCTGTTTTTGATGTTGATATAGTCTGTATTTTAGTGTTGTATTTGTCACTTTCTCCCATTGTCATGATAAAAATCTTTAAGTTGACATTTATTTCCAGCCATTATGTAATATTTTATAGAACCAAAGTCATTTCCACCATATCTTATCATTCATGTAACATGCTTACTCTGGACTATACTATAATAACAACACTAACATGCTTATTTTGGACTATACTATAATGACAACAACATTAACATGTTCAGTCTGGAATTAACTATGCCTCAATCTCAAGCAACTTGGAGGCGGTTACATGAATTCTCATTGTTTATGTTACTCTATTTAAGCTCGTCTCAGTGTACTCGGGACTTTTCTATTCTATAGAACTAATAATTGAATATAGTGGATGATCTTGTTCTTGCTTCATATTGTTTTTTACTTTATACCAGCAACACTGGTGGAGGTACCACAACTGTACCAGGAACCACAACTCCAGGGACCGGCACCGGCACCAGCACTGGGACCGGCACCGGCACCGGCACGGGAACTACAACAGGTATTAACAATCCTACTTTTGGGCTAGGACCAACAGGAAGTGGTGGCTTCAATCCAGATGGCAGCGGCACAGAAACTCTTCATAAAAATACTGTCTTTTTCACTATAGCCATTTTGTTTACAAGCTTGGTATGCTTAAGAAAATGATGAACGTGAGGCAGTAAATGAAGGGAAGGAAAGGTTTGAGAAGATAATGTGGGCTTTTGGCACAAAGTATGGGGTAGCCATTTACAATGGTCAGCAGGGGAGAATCATCTGGACACACTTCCACTTGGACTTTTTCTTTTTATTTCTTTCTTTCTTTTTGTTTGTTTTCTTCTTGTTCTTTATCTCCATCTTCTTAGCGAGTGAAAAAGTTTGGAATTAGATTCCCTTTTGAAGTGATGTGGCTGTTTCTGGGGTAGTAATGTAGGAAGAATCTGATCTCTTCTTTTTAGATTTTCCTTTTTGTATATCTGGAGAGTAGAAGACATAAGGCTGTATTGTTTATTTTAGAGATGTTATCAATGAGTACTCACTACCCTACCCCTGTGGTGATATTAGTGCATCTCTGTATTAAAATATAACCCCCTTCTAGTTCCCTGTCCATCTGTCTTTGTGATTTCTGTTCGTTCATCTTGTTTCTTTGTGCGTGTGTGTAGAGAATATTAGCAAAGTATAATTGAAAATCCCAACTTAAAGAAATGTAGAAATAGGCTCAAGTGTCAGAGTGAAAGGAATCTTGGTTCCTTCACAAGAGAATAAACCAAACAAGTGTGACTCCTTCAAGTTTCTTTACCCTAAGCCCTTTTTGAATGGATCTTACATAAGAAACCAAACAAGGTTTCCTTCTAGTTTCTTTACTTTGCCCTTTTTGGCGGCACCTTACATGAAGGTCAAAAGCTACTTAAATTTTTTAATGTATTTAATATTAGGATCAATGAGTTGAATGAAAATCATGAGAAACCAATATTCAAAATCCTGTAGAAACAAAAGAGTTGGATGATCGTTTTTCCTATAGTGATCAGAGTATTCTAGTATATAAACTGATGATAAATAAAATGTATACGTCCTGCGTGCAAGCTGGTACGATCACTACTTTTAGGTGCTAAAATAGAATCTTCAAAGCAAGAACTTTTGACTTTACGTTAGATGTAGGTGAAAAGGTTGAGGTAAAGAATCTTGAAGGAGAACTTTTGAGGTTTCATTAAAATAAAATAAAAAGCTCAAGGTTGTTTCACTTGGATGGTGACTCCAGTGCACATGCACGGCATCTTTCAATGAGCCAGACCTTATTATGATATAATAAGGGATAATGACTTCAGAACTACTTTTATACACCAGTAACAACCTTTGAACTTTTACCACGGTGTGGGATAATACATATGTATGTTGTTGTAATAACCTTTGAGCTTTATGTAGAGCCCCCTCCCCCTTTGAAAAGGATAGCATGTGACACAACAAGGATCTGTTAACAGCAATGGTTCATTACTCCTGGTCTAAGTTGTAGGTTAAGTTAGGATATGCATCAATCACAGTACCTTCACTAATCAAATAAGTTCAAAGTGGTAATTGGTAATTGACATATAATAAGATCAGCATCACCAACTCCTCACATCCTCTATCTGTATGCACTCTTGCATCATAAGCTTAGAAGAGAACCTGATCCCAACATTATAAAAAAAACAGCCAGAAAACATGTACATAGCTCGGGTTCCGGAACCCATGCAGAAAGAAAATTCTAGCGACATCTATCTTTCAACAAACTGTCCAGCAATATCCCTTGACTAAGTTACTATAGTTTCTTATCCCCAAGATACGTTATTCTAATTGCCAATATCACAAAAACATTTCCGATTTCTAGAGATAACATCTTAAACTACCTCTAGTATTCACTGCTAATTCAAAATGTTCCTGAAACTACCATGGTACCTGGCATGAAGCTCTAATAGGAGTGATGTAATCCTAAATATATTACACAATAAAAGTTCACCACTGCATCAAGGCGCAAGCTATGATTTACCAGGCATAGATTCCAGCTCCAAATATTGAAGAACTGAAAGAAACATGTTGAAAATGCTAAGATATTCAGCTAATTATACTGCTTAGGTAATCAGTTTATTACACTTCTGTACTGGATGCCAAAGCACATTCAATATGTAGGTAATAAGGCTGATGGTGCTCACTGGCAAACTGATCTCACCTCTAAGTAGAATCAGGAAGTTAGATCTCCACATGTGGGATGTGCTAACAATCTGCTTTGTACAAGTACTAATAATCAAACAGGAACAGAGATGGTCGAGACAGAGTCAGGATTTGCCCTTTGTGATTGATCAGAGTGAACGAATTCCACTATCAACCTGGAGACAACATCAGGCTTCTCCACATGGGGGATATGGCCGCACTTTGGTATTTGGCGTATAATAGCATTTGGTAGTTCACAATGCAATCTCTGCGCACATAAGAGTCAACGGACACTTTAGTAATACTTATGAACCACGTATTTGGCTGCTACAAGCCAACAGATTTCTATTGTTGCAAACTTGAAAGAAACATACCACTCCGAGCTTGTAGTCAATTATCTGATCATCTTCACCCCATATTATTAGTGTTTTCTGCTTGACCTGCATAACAAAACTTCTGCTAGCATCATAATGCTGTAGCATTTTCCATAGGGACAAGAAGAAAATAAGTTGACAACATGAAGAACGGATACAGCTAGCAAAACACATCTTTATGCAATGTATCAGTAGAATCAGACGCGGCGAGAATCCAGTCAGCCCCAAGACTTACAGAAAATTATGAGGGCCACAGGAAGAGATTCACCATAATTCTGGTCTCATTTACATACCACAATTGATTTTATTGACATCTAAAGCTAATAGGTTTGCAATTTCTAGAGAGGTTACGTGGAGTTTGCAGCTAAGGCTCACTTGTCTGGACTGTTTAAGAACAATACAGCATATTGAATATTTCTTACTAAAACAGACTATTCATAATTAAGCCAGTGGCCAGGAGTTCCTATATTTAGACTCCAATAATTGCATGTCCAAATGGCAACCATGTTAAGATGAAACTAATTAAAATCATTATTCCTAACTCCATGATCCAATCATTGCCTATAAAATACAGCAAGATAGTGTTGCTCCATATCAGAGTCAATGCAAAAGAAAGTACCAAAAGATCGCAACAGGCACGTCTATTTAGGAACTTAAAGAAAATTTAGTAAATTTGTACATACATGTTCTATCTGTGCAACAACATTGTAACCTCCACTGATCATGAAATTCACTGTTGCATCCTCCCACCAAGGTAACAAACAATGTAAGCGGCCAATCTGGACAGAAAACCAGATAATCAGAAGGCCTGGTAAAACAAGGAGCATTAAAAATATGCCAGAAGCACATGGTGACCATCTGATCTGCATGACTTTTAGGTTTCTAATAGATTACAGGGTCAACTTACATTAGTCCAGTCTATGCAGGTATTTAATGGTAAGCCATTGAAAGATAATGATGTTGCATATAAGCGAAGTGGAACACTTTTCAACAAGTAGACCTGCAGCAGCAGGTTTGTTATCAGATTAGTGAAAAGAACAAGAAATATGGATGGCTGATGCACAAAGAATGTTGTTCAAAATATATCCGAGCACATGTTATATTTGAGATCTTTCCGTTGAATAGGAGACTGAATAGTAACAAACTGAAACTAAAAGTTCTTTCTTTAGTTGGGGTCGTGCAGCATTAGGAGAAAGATCTGATAGACAAAGAGAGTCAGTATAAGGATGCTAAACTTAGATCGATTAAGGATCAATCATCATTAACAATTAGGGAAAGTTTCTCTTTTTTACTCTTTGAGTTTGCTAATCAGAAACCATGTTGTCAATAAATCACAATCCTTGTAACATATATTTGCAGTTACATCAAATAATCCAATATGGAGTAGAAAGTATCCCTTTGTTTTAAGAGGACCAGGAGGGAACTCACCCCAGCATAAGCTACTGCTTTGGGTAAGGTTGCAAGGTTTCCTGTACCTTCTGCATAAACACTTGCATCGATTAAAACCAGCTTATAAACCTGATAAAGTGAAAGAGGCGTTGGAGTAAGCATAACGTTATACCTTCTTCATACTAGAAAGTAATTTATAATATCTGGACATGGATCCACAGTTACTAATGTACTTACTGCTTCAGGATATTTGACAGAAAAGTCAATAGCAACCGCAGATCCAAGACTTGGTCCGACAAGTACCATTGGCCTCTTGATGTAGGTAGACCACAGCTGAAAGAGAAACGAGACTGAAAAATTTACAAAAAGAATCAACGGAAGATTCTTTCAAAATTCAAGATCCGATTAATTCTTTGATGTGGCTGTTCACCAGGGAGACCTACCTGACCCTTATTGCCCTTTTAGTGGTTTCTACATATAAACTTAGACAAGTAAACACTACTTCCATAATTTTCTAGATTAGGACCATGCCTAGTAAGCAAGGGGCCCCTTCATAATGCTGCATAATTGTGATATCATACCACCGCGATGGGGTATAACTTTGGCACGTGCCCCTGCATACTAAGTATTACCATACACTACTAGGTGAAAATTGAATGTGAGTTTACCTTTGAACTTAAATATGCAACTTTGCATTTATTAGAATGTATAGTGAAAGAGATCAATTCCAACCATTCAAGTTTGTATGCACCAGATTAGGACATACATTTTAAAATCAGTAAGGTACCTGGTAAAGATGATCACGCTTGGAAGCTACATCACACGATGGAAGCCTTTCTTTGATATCACAGGAAACAAAAAGATACGAAACCATGAGGAAGTCTTCAGTCTTTGTTTGCAAAATCTTTCTGAAAAAATGAAAAACCCGGAAAGAACTAGGACAAGACAATGTACCTAAATCAGAGAAACCCCATCCAAGGATATCAACTGCCCATGTCTCCAACCCAGCCTCCTCAAGCATAGGAAGTGTGTACCTCCACTCTAAACATGAGCTGAACAATGAGGTATAATGAACAACAGGCACAACAAGAGAAAGTGGTCAGAACTATTGGCTTGGCGTGACGCATACCTATCAAAACCATGGAGAAGCACGACTGGATTGGCCTCTGTCTGTTCTTTTGGCTTCACACAACTACTCAAGACACAACCCTTTGATAAGTTTACCTAAAATGAAGCTGGATTATCAAACTGAAGCAGTAACAGAGCTTTATAGAGAAAGTGAATAATTAATTCAATTCCGATATTTAGATATTTGAGTTTAGGACTATTACAAGGAAAATAATTCATTTCTTATTTTTCTCCTTGTGATTCTGGTTAAACACATTCCACCTTCAATTATATTATACGAGCAATTTTGATTCCTTCGACGGTAAATCTTCACAAAGTTAACGAATTATTAAGTATTAAACCATTCAATTATTATGTATTATGTCAAATTTGTAACGTTACTCCATATTTGAGAGTAATATAGTCCCAAAATAGTCTAAATATCACATATTACCTATATAGAGTGAGACTGTGCTAGACTGTTAGTTTATTGAAGGTTAAATGTACTTAGCCAAATATTACAAGGATCAAAACTAGAATTAACCAATAACTGAGGGACTAAAGTGCAATTATCCGAAACAACTCAAAATCATCCCAAAAATGAGTAGCACATTTTGAAAGTAAAAAAGAAAAGAAAAGCGTACAGGTACTCTTTCAATTCGTGAAGCCAATTTTCTAGCAGAAGAGTCTTTGATATTCTCGACTTGGTTAGGAAGAAAATCCGGAAATTCAGCAGCTCGGATCCTTAAACGCCTTGAAATGGAGAATTTTACATTGTGTCCAATTGGGATTGGTGGAGGAGCAACACCGGCTCTGGCTGAGAGCATTGTTAACATAATAGTGGTGTGACTCCGCCGTGCACGGTGGCACTGGTTTTTCAACTTACTCGTACAAAGAAGAAGTGGAAGAAGAATTTATGTTTGGTAGAGGATTGGATTTGCCATGTGGCCGTTTCTGCGTTTCACTTTTTTTTTTTTTTTTTTTTTTTCACAGGAAAAAA